AAATAAATAGATAAATAAATAAATAATTTTTTTTTATTTCTACATCTTTGGAAAACAGCAGCTGCCTTTCACATCATGTGAATTTCATGATGAACAGACCAATAGAAATCCTCCAAAACAATTCAGAGTAAAGGACGTTTTGCCCTCTTCAGTACAGTTGTAATTTTGGAGACAGTGGTTTTCAGAAGTGTTGCTGAGCCCATGCAGTGATTTCCACTACAGAATCATGTATGTTTTCAATGCAGTGCCACCTGAGGGCCTGAAAATCACGGCCAGCCTACTGGACGTTTCTATGGATTCTCTGATTCATTTAATGATATGTACCATAGATAATTAAATGCAAATTCTTTGCCATTTTATGTTGAGAAAAAGACTGATTGAAAACGGGCATGCACATATATATATATAAATATACATACACACACACATACATATATATACATATATATATATATATACACATATATATATATATATACACACATATACACACACACACACACACACACATATATATATATTATATATATATATATTATGGCAAGCCAAACAGGAAATATTTAATGAACATTGATATATATGGAATGAACTTTGATATATATATATAATGAACTTTAATATATATATATACAATGAACATTGATATATATGTAATGAACTTTGATATATATTGAATGAAAGTCGCTGTTGAAGGGTTGAGGATGGCCAAGAGAAACTGTACATCAATAAATGGGCATTAACAAACTCCAGGTGGAGCTTAAAGGAAGGGAATTCTGATAAAGTGACCAGTATCTATACACATTGATCCTGTGGACAGAGTGACCTGAGAGTGGCTGATATATGATGTGAAGACACAGATGGGTGGAGTTTCAATATATACATAATTTGACATGGTGCAGAAGAAGAGTCAGATGAGGCCATAACTTCTATTTGAAAAATGCTCTTTTATTGAGAGCAAGAGAAAACAGTGCCACTTGAAAAGCAACTGAAAACTGAGGTAGGTCACTCCTAGCCCTGCTCTTTCTTCTGAGGGTCACCAAACACAAACACACTCTCCCTAACTCTGAGCTGGACACAGAATAACAGAGTAAACACAAACACACACTGTAACTGAAGAACAACAACATAGCAACATTAAATAACAATGTAAACAGTCTGTTTGGGTCGGGGGGGAGGTGCAAGGCTACAACACACACAACCCCAAAAGTCCCTCTCTGTCCAAACAAAACATTTTATGAATTATATTATTCATTTTTTCATCTCAATGTTCGATCCATGTACATCAATGTTCAATATATATACATTTTCATTCCATATATATCAATCTTTGTTCTACTGAGATATATATGGAATGAACATTGATATATACGGAATGAACATTGATATATATGGAATGAACATTGATATATATGGAATGAACGTTGATATATATTGAATGAACATTGATATATATGGAATGAACTTTGATATATATGGAATGAACATTGATATATATGGAATGAACATTGATATATATGGAATGAACATTGATATATATGGAATGAACTTTGATATATATGGAATGAACATTGATATATATGGAATGAACGTTGATATATATTGAATGAACTTTGATATATATGGAATGAACATTGATATATATGGAATGAACGTTGATATATATTGAATGAACTTTGATATATATGGAATGAACATTGATATATATTGAATGAACATTGATATATATGGAATGAACTTTGATATATATGGAATGAACATTGATATATATGGAATGAACATTGATATATATGGAATGAACATTGGTACATATTGAATGAAAATGTATATATATTGAATGAACCTTGATGTACATGGATTGAACATTGAGATGAAAAAATGAATAATATAATTCATAAAATGTTTTGTTTAGACAGAGAGGGACTTTTGGGGTTGTGTGTGTTGTAGCCTTGCACCTCCCCCCCAAACAGACTGTTTACATTGTTATTTAATGTTGCTATGTTGTTGCTCCTCAGTTACAGTGTGTGTTTGTGTTTACTCTGTTATGTTGTGTCCAGCTCAGAGTTAGGGAGAGTGTGTTTGTGTTTGGTGACCCTCAGAAGAAAGAGTAGGGCTAGGAGTGACCTACCTCAGTTTTCAGTTGCTTTTCAAGTGGCACTGTTTTCTCTTGCTCTCAATAAAAGAGCATTTTTTAAACAGAAGTTCTGGCCTCATCTGACTCTTCTTCTGCACCATGTCAAATTATGTATATATTGAAACTCCACCCATCTGTGTCTTCACATCATATATCAGCCACTCTCAGGTCACTCTGTCTACAGGATCAATGTGTATAGATACTGGTCACTTTATCAGAATTCCCTTCCTTTAAGCTCCACCTGTAGTTTGTTAATGCCCATTTATTGATGTACAGTTTTTCTTGGCCATCCTCAACCCTTCAACAGCGACTTTCATTCAATATATATCAATGTTCATTACATATATATCAATGTTCATTATATATATATCAAAGTTCATTGTATATATATCAAAGTTCATTGTATATATATCAAAGTTCATTCCATATATATCAATGTTCATTAATTATTTCCTGTTTGGCTTGCCATAATATATATATATATATATATATATATATATATATATATATATATATATATATATATATATATATATAAAAAACAATTCATTTCTTAGGTTTTAATGTTGTCTTTCTACTACTTTCAATTAAATATAGAGTTTAAATGATTTTTACATTACATTCTGGTTTTTATTTTTCCACATTTTGCATAGCATCCCAACTTTCAGAAACAGGGTTCTACACATAGTTAATAACAATGATATTAAGCAATAACTGTCTTGATTTATTGATTTTTTCACGATTGCTTAAATCAGTCCAACCTTGGAAATAAGGTTTTCAGTGCATGTATAGCCTCAGTCGGTTTCTTTTTGTTTTTCTATCTGCACATGCAAACAAACAGAACCAGATAGAAAAGAGCTGCCTGGGAAACAGTAAACAATAAACGTTTATTTCAGTGCTACAGCCCTGAAATTGGCAACAAATGAAAAAACACTATGTGCACAATTTTGAGTCACATAAACCTCCAAAGAAATATTCTCTGGTAAAGGGGTTCTGTGTTAAAAGAAAGCAGCAGCTTCAACTTTGTCAAGGGCTGCACTTCTTTTGTGAGTTTACTAAAATGTTGCTCAGGGGTTTATGTCATGCGTTTAGGAGTAACGTGATTATTGTCTCATATACTCCTGGAAGTTTCTCATGATTAGATTATGAATCTATATGAAATGCTTGTGAATGTGTTGAACGAATTATTGCCAAAATTCAGATTTTCTACAGTTAATGAATTATTATGTGCATGTTAATGTACTCAGAGACAATACACACACACACACACACACACACACACTATAATACATACATACATACATACATACATACATACATATACACTGCCTATATCTTTAAGGATAGATTTGAAAGTTCTGCTACTAGTTTTTAAGGCTCTAAACGGTCTTAAAGCACCGCTGCTTACATCACAGAATGACTGTTTATGTTCCAGCAAGGGATCTTAGATATGCAGATACTGACCTTCAAACACCCTCCATAAAATACAGAAAACATTCAGTTATTATAAACTATAGAACTCAATTCCACCTTTTATTAGACAGTCAGTGCACACTTTTAAGAAACATGCAAAAACGCATCTCTTTAACTTTCAGCATTTAATTAAACCTACATTTCTTTGATATTCATCTTTTAAATTTATTCTGTCATCATCTTATATGATTGTAAATGAATACCCATAGTTTCTTCTACTACTGCCTGTAAAGCACTTTGAGCTGCCACCAGTATGAAAAGTGCTCTATAAGTAAAGATATTATTAGTAATAGAATCTAACAGAGGGAAGAACACGCCATTGCTGACCATAAACAAACAAAACAATACGTTTATTTTGGCTTTAACTGGAAGTGTCTGGTGTTCAACATTGTATGTGGATATCTGACAGGTTTTCATCACGAGGTGATATGTTTACTTTGTGAACTGAATAATGCTAAAAGGCAGAAATACACTCTAATGTGAGGTAACCAAATGATCTGTTTCAGGTGGCAGACTTCTTCTGACAAGCCAACCCTCCGAATGTGGACGCTCTGTAGCCCAATAAGCCAATAACCGCCTGGTATTTATTAAATACTGAAACTTAATGACCACCTCGTGAGTCGAGACCCCCAGGCTGAAAACAACTAGTTTAAACACAGTGTGGTTTTGGGGTCGCTTGATCACTCCTGCTGAGTGGATTTAGGAGACGTAACATGGATTACTTTGTTCTTTCCTTTTCTTTGCAAAAATAATGCACTTAAAATTTGAATATATTTGAATATTTGACAAACAAACAAGGGGAAAATTTGAATTGAACTTCTTTAAATAAATCAAATGAGCACAAACCTGCTTTCTAAGGCCTTTCCACCCCTATGTTCTCCATGCAGTGCGGCATTCCTGCTTCATACGGTATTAAAGTGATGAAAGGCAGATTCAAATTATATAAAAACTGTGAAACCTACAAACAGGGGAGGGAGAAAAACAGCTGACACAAGTAAGCAGGAGTGAATTTCTCCCAGTGAAGGTGATGCTCTCAGCATTTCAGCTCAGACAGCTCCAGTCAAAGTTCCCTTACAAATGCAGCTATTACAGGAACGCTGCAACACACACATTCAGATAGATAAACAGAAACAACAGTATAAGCGTTATCTGATGGGTATGGATTTGCAGCGCAAGGAAAGAAAGCCAAAGTCAGACTGATCAGGCTCAATGGGAGAAAAACAGGAGCTTCCATTCATGGTGCTTTTAAAAATAAAACCTTTACAAGCAGTGATGGGCCTTGAGAAATATACGACGAGCATACAAATCAAGCTACATGAATCATTGCAGGCCCCATTGTCTGAAAGCATGAAACCATCCCAGCGTCTTGAAGCAGTAAACAAGCGACGAGCCTTACCTTCGAGACGCCCTCTTTCACATCTTCGCTTGCAGCGATGAAGGGCACTAGGGGAGAGAGAGAAAGAGAGAGAAAGAAAGCATAAGGCCAGTCTCTTTAATACAGCCCAACAATGAGTTCTCTGTCATCAAGCCATTTAGAATGCCAATAAAAGTGCGAGCCAAAAATATCCCCTCCGGCTCCTGGGCCTCTTTACATCTCCCTTAAATAAAAATGCAGGTATAGATCTGAGCCCAGAAAATGACATTATCGCTGGAACCGAAGAGTTAGTCACTTATTTAGTTAGCCGAGGCGAGTCCGAGTGCCCACTCTCCTTCAATCTGCGCCTGCCGTTTGGGACTTCGCTTTGCGATGCTCGCTGCAAGTTTATAATTAGAGCCGGGAGAGCCCCCTTCCAATTACGTTGCCATTGATCCACGGTAGACAGCCTTTAACAGAGGCCACGGAATCGATACGCGGCATCAAAACAGCGGCTTTAGAGCCGAAACGTCTTTGGCAGCCAAATGCTGGGCCTCCAGAGAAGCCTGGGCATTGGTGCGGACTTTATTTATTCATTAATTGCCCGTTTTATCTGCTCTTCTGATGACATTATCAGAGCCAAGGTGCGAAGTGTTGGTTAATTCTCCAGATTAAAATTAAGTCTTTATATCCAGAAAAAAATCTGAAAAAAACCCACCACAATTGTCCAGAACTTAAAAAAAAATAAATATTTAAAGAAAAAAACAACTTTTTTTGTGGCAGTTTCTTCAGCTCAGCTGAGGTTCTACTGCTGTGGGACACGATGAGGTTCGAAACTGACTTGGCTTCGTTAATGATGGCACTGAATTATTTATGCAGTCCAACTCTCTGTGGATCCCCACTGTTATACATTAGGATTACAAAGCCTAGATAGACTTATGGAGCCTCTGCAACAAAAAAAAAAAGGTGATTTGATTTAACAGCTGTTTAGAGCGGTCAGATCTAATCACTTACAGTGAGGCAGCCCGGCATAATAAGTAAATACATCAGTCTAGACACTTCATTTCATAAATCATCCAGGATACACTGAAAAACAATGAGCCTGATGTACTGAGTAGGGGTGGGATAAAATATCGATATGGTGATATATTGCATCGCTTTTTTGAGACACGTTATCGATACACTGGTGCCAAATATCGATTTATGTATTGTAAATGCTCTAAATGGACCCTCCAATTTGATTTACCAGATTCAGTACTTCATGATTCCACGGGGGGGGGCGGGGTAGGGGACAAATGAGACAGGCACCGTCCTCTTTCAAGTCGAAGGTCTGGGCCCACTTCGGCCTTTACAGCTTTGCCAAAACTCTAATTCAGCCTACAATTAATACAGTTTTTATAGCCGAACCTTCTTTTACGTCCCCGAGGGCTACCAGGTTGGTTATGCTTGTTAAACAAAATAAGCAATGAAACGTGCCCAGTTTACATAAAACAAGTTGGTTATGCTTGTTAAGCACTGAAATGTGTATTTTTTAAATGTTTACTTTTGAGAGAGAAATGTGTATTTGCATTAATATATTTTTTTTTATATAAATGTATTTATTTATTTATTCATTCTGTAAGTTAAAAAATATTTTAGTGAGGCACAGTTGTGCTCTATATTTAGACTGCTTTTTGGTAGTTTATGGCTATGTTACATTGGAATGATGTCACGATCAGTCAGTGTATGTACACTGAAGAGGTATGAAGCTATGCGCTTCGTTGTACATTGTTTTATATTGGTTGTCAATTTCTGTGAAACTGACACTAATAAATACATAATAATATGTAATTCCTGCCATTTGCCTATTAAGGAGTACTTTTAATTCTCATGATGTATCATAGAGGATTGTCTTGTAACATATCGAGTTTCACAGAATTCGCAGATAATGATATCATCATTATCGTGGGCAACGTACCGTGATAATATCGTATTGTGAGACGCCCTGTGATTCCCACCCCTAGCGCTGAGCCCTTTGCTGCAGTTTCAGGCGCAAATTGAATGCATTCGGCTTGTGTGATGTCCAAAACTGACGCATGCTCAGTTTACAGGCCGTGTGCATGGGAAAACAGAACATGCACCTCCCTTCGTCATGCATGCATCAGAGGGAGGATCATACAAAATGTGAGTGGAGATAAGACACATGAGGCTGATTACATGTTGCACTCGATTTCCAAAAGATGCCAGATTTGCACTGATTTTCTTCTGTCTTTTAAAACCAGGCACAAATATGCACCACTGTTTCAAAAGATGTGTTGCTGAGAGACGCAGTGGCTAGACGGAGACCCGAGCCTCAAATACGTGCTGAAAGAATGTTCATCATCAGAATGACCCTAAGGGTGCTTTCAGATGATAAGCAGCAAAACCTCTTTGCATTGGTGATGCCATTGTTCGCATATGGACAGATCCACCCTTCACCCTGATTTTACACTACCTTGAGTGTCTCAGATTTGCACAGCTTTGCTGCTCCGTTTTGCCGCCTTGCTGCTCTGCACACAGTTCAATCCAATTTGCTGCTGACTAGGGCTGCATAACACCGACATCAAATGAGATATCAAAGCTGTTGGATATCACAGTGATGATTAGACACAATAAATGATTATTAAAATACCGTGCCTCTGATTGGATGTGCTTCAAGTATGGACTTTTTTTTTGCTGTTTGAACAAATCTAACCTAAGCAAACAGCAAATACAAAATTATAAAAGGCAACATGAATAAAACGAAACAGTAACATCTACTTATATGTTATGTACTTTACTGGTCCTACAAGGGAAATTTGTCATTTTGCTGTCTAACTACACCCAATCTAGCCGCAGCACAGCGTCACCAGCAGAGCAGCGCCACCTGAAGCAGTGGGGGGGGTTTCAGTGCCTTGCCCAAGGACACAACCAGGTATACCTAGTCAGTCGTGGGATTTGAACCTACAACCTTCCAGTTGATGGCCCACTTCTCCACTAGGCTACTGGGCTGCAAACACATTTTTGTGCATGGTAAGGCTGAACGAGGACACACAGTGTCACTGATGAGACGCACTACTCTTATGAAGCACCAAAAGCTATTAGACAGCTAATGGTGCCCCCTTGTGGCAAACATGTAGCCTCCAAAAAGTGAGTTCCATGAGGTGCTTTACTCGAAAAACCATCAGGATACCCTAAACAGAGTCAAGCTACAAACACAAATGTATATGTATATTTTTACTTTTATATAGGCCTACAAAAATTAATAAATATATGTTTAATTCCTTTGTATAACGATGCAGGTTGGTTGCCACAGTCATTACTGCTTCATACATTTTACCATACAGACCATGCGTTTTACCCACAACACTATGAGAGAGAAGTCATAATGTTTTAAGTATTTTTACAGGCTACTGCCTCAGTAATTTATCAGCTGTGCATGTGGGTGTTGAGTAATTGGCTATTTAGCTGAAAGGTTAATTTTGGTTCAATCCCAGCACTGGGAAGCACTTGTTGGGCTTTAATGCTACATTCCTGAAAATCTAATTATGCCACTTTTGTGCTGTGCATGTGTGTTAATTTGAAGTGTTTGTCGCAGAGACTCATGATTTAGTGATGCTACAGCTATCAGTGGCTGGGAGTTCAAGACAATACAATTGGTCTTGCTCTCTCTGGGTGGGTAGGATGAACCTCCCTCTTCCCCCCAATCACTCAGTGCAATGCTAGCCAACACAGCTGTCTGTTTGTTGACATAACAGAACTGGCACTCTCCTCCAAGCATGTTGAGCTGTCCGATGACACTGCATTACCAGCAGTTTGAAAGATGTGATGGCTGGCTTTACAAGCATCCTAGCGCTCTACCGTCCTCCTAATGCTGGTAGTGACTGGGATAGACCTAGCTAGAGGGTGGAACTAGACATGGCTAAACTTGGACAGAAACTGGAGAAAGATGCCAAAATGCCCCCCCAAAAAATGCCAACATTTGTCATGCAGCCCTTCCACTGACCATTCCAAAGCGCAGCCAATCAGACAATAAGCCATATTTATAACACTTGGAGGTATCAGCACTAACCCACGCAACATGTGGCATGGTAAATAAGAGCTATTTATAGAGTCACCGTGGCGGTGATTAGTGATGGTAATTAGAGCATCGGTGTCTTAATGAGGCAGTTTTCTCACCAGTGTCTTAGACAAGAGTCAATCAAAATCCACATGTAAATGAGGTCATACATATTAAAGACCAATGTCAAGCGAAGCTTCAGTGGACTGCCAAAATGAAAACAACAGAACAAAGAAAAACAAAATTTTTATAAACAGAGCTACAAATTTAAATGGCAGAAATGCTGGAAATTTTTAGTAACAAAAGTTTAAGATTTGGTATCTTTTATTACAACGGAAAACAAAATCGACAGGCTGGCATTTTCATACTATGGCAAGCCACTTTAGCTTTCATTACCTTTTTTATTTCAGGAATTCAATTTGAATAAATAAATATTTAATTCTTGATATCAGGAATTTAGAATTCCACAATATAAACTTTTCACTAGTAAAATGTATTTTCTATTGTACAAATGTCATTTTCACATGTACAAACTGAATTCTTGTGTGAATTCCATTGTAAATTGAAAAATAATATTAAAAGCTAAAACTGCTTGCAATAAAATCAATTTGAACATAATCAGAATCTCAGCATGTCAAATTACTCTTCACTTGGATTATGAGCTAAATCTACTTTCCACACACACAGACGGGGATTCACCAAACAGCAAATTTGCTACAGGAAGACGCAGCTGTTTTAACAACGGTGCCAGTTAAATCTGAAATCTGCTCAAGCAAATCTTCTTCCTCCTCATGTTCTCCTACAACAGCACTTAGAAGGTTTTCCATGATGTTTAGACTGAACAGGTCAAAATGTGTCTTTTACATGTACTTGTTAATCATCCGAGTGTGTATGTGTGATTTGTTGCATGTGGGACGAAGCACGTTTGGAAACACTGGAGAAAATATTATTTAATCCAGATCGGCTTCTTACCAGGAAAATTACAGAGTGGTTCAGATGTTATATTTTGCAGGACTGTTTTGTTATGAATCG